CTGGGTGGGCGTGGATGGAGTGGGTGTGGCCTACTGGGTGGGCGTGGCCACTTCTACATCATTTGCGTCAAGGGTGCCTGTGGGGGCCTGGGCAGGAGTGGGACAGATCTGAGGTGCCTGTGGGGGCCTGGGCAGGAGTGGGACAGATCTGAGGGGGTGAGGGGGGTGGGACGGGGCAAGTGCCAAGGCATGGTCCACCGGGGCAAGTGCCAAGATGGCCACCACAAAATTGTACATTGGCTCCCGGCTGGCCTGGGCCAGGGCCAAGGCAGCGGGGGCCGTTCCCTCACTGTTTCCAGGAAGGCTTCGCGGGCCACATGAAACTACTTTGCGAGCCGCATCCAGCTCCCAGGCCTTGTGTTTGACATGTCTGCTGTAACCAGTCTTTGATATTATCTCATTCCTTTAATGGTCTCCAGCCATTCAATAGTTGAATTTTCTTGATATTCTTTTCTCGTGGAACCACACATTCCTGTGCCAATACTGTTATGATCCCCAAACAAAGAATTCTGGAAATACCTCCAGCATTTCTACAGTAAGAATAAACTAACTGGATAAATACAGCTAGTCCTTGAGTTAATGAATGTAATGGAGCCTGCCAATTATATTTGTAACCCGAGGATTCATAGGAGTGAATTGCGTAACTTGACCGCGATCACTCCCTACTTTCGCCCACGCATTCGCTAATCGGATGCGCGGGTCGTTAAGTACACATGAGGTATCTCAGGGTGGGGAAGGCCATGGGGGCGTAGTGATGGAACAGGCCACCTGCTTCAGACTACCTGAGGCCTTCCCTGATTCAAGCACTTTGCTGATGAAAACCGAGGCCCAGAAAGGCATGCACGTCCCTCTGAGCCTCCTTTGTCATTGGCAAAGGCCTCCTCAAGCACTTTGCTGACATAAACAGAGGCCCAGAGAGGCACACGCATCCCGCTGGGCCTCCTTTGTCATCAGCAAAAGACTCCTCAAGCACTTTGCCAGTGAAAATGGAGTCCCAGAGGGGAGTGTGCATCCCTCCGGACCTCCATTCTCATCAACAAAGGCCCTTGCTGACAAAAACAGAGCCCCGAGAGGTGCATACGTCTCTCTGGGCCTCCTTTCTCATCAGCAAAGGTCTTCTCAAGCACTTTGTCAATGAAAATGGAGCTCCAGAAGGGAGCATGCATTCCTCCAGGCCTTTGTTCTCATCAGCAGAGGCCTTTGCTGACAAGAATGGAGGCCCGGAGGGAACCAAGTTCCCCTCCCAGCTTCTGTTCTCGGTGGCAAAGGGCTTTTGTAAATACGGCAAAAGGCTTTGCAAATGGAAGGAAGGTTTGGTGTTTCAGGCCTTCCCTCCATTTGCAAAGCCTTTTGCTGCAGATCTCATCCAGGCCTCCATTTGCAGAGAACAGAGGCCTAAAGTACTAAGAGATCAGGCGAGATCCGTAGCGCAAAATCTCGCTCTACTGATCTTGTGTGATCTTGTGTACTTTAGGCCTCCATTCTCTGCAAACGCACCGAAGGCCTGAAGCACCGAACAGGCCAAGAAATGGAAGGCTCCCTGGATCTTCGGAAGGTGGGTAGCCACAGGCCTAGTGCCTGTAGAGACCTGGGAGAGGGGAATAGGCAGGGCGAATGTTGCAGAGCCCCTGTGGTCATTCATAAGTGTGAACAACTGCCGTGGTGCTGCAACATTCGAAATTTTGGGGCTGTGTCATAAGTACTTGGGGGGGGGTTAGGTCATAACTTTGAACAGTTGCTAAGTGAACTGTCGTAACTCAGGGATTACCTTTACATATTTTTGCTCATCTGTTTCTGTCATGACTCCTTGAAATCATTCAACCTTCTCGGGAGAACTGAATTAACCCAGGAGTGCAAAACATGGGCTGATATACTTTTGCAATCTCTTGAGCTTCCTTAAGAGTGGTGGAATTGAGGCTGCTCTTCTCCTCTGTCTTTATTTTTTTTCATTTTTGCTGGGGGGAGGGGTGCTCCCCCCAAAAATTAAGGAGTGAAATGGTGCTTTAAGCATTGTAAAGGCTAACATCTCTTTATGCCCTCACCAAAATCGGATTCTGGTCCAAAATCAGATTCTGATTCCGGTTTTGGAGTGTCAACCCTGTAAAGCTGCACAAGCCCTGGTGCCGCCTGCTAGCCAAAGAAATTACGCTAACCTAAAAATGCTAAACTAAAGGGCTCTACCCAGTGAATAGTGTCACAAAATGCCCATAAGTAAATGTAAAGGTGCTTACCCAGTTCCTGAGAGCCCACTGCTGACAGAGGGAGAGGGCGGAGGGGTTCCTACAGCTTCCTTGGTATAAGGGATCCCTCCGCCAGATGGAGATGATGAGCTCAGCAGTGAGGTGGAGCAGATGGTGGCATCATCAGAATCAACTAGGAAAAATTGTGGGAAAGCACCTGATTATATCTCTCGTTGCCCAGAGCACTTGGGGGAAAACCTGGCTGTCTGGAATGAGGAGCAAAGGAGATTTCTATGTGCTATCAGAGCTAGGTTGTTTCCATATGCATTGCCCTACCAAACTTACCAAGGTAGCCGCTATAGAAGGAACAAGGAAAGGATAGAGGCACCAGCTGGATTTGCATACAAGCTACGTCACAATGTGATTTCAGCTTAGTCCGTTGTGTCAACCCAGCCACTGTGGTTTGAAAACAGTTTTATAACAGTATGTGGTATGTTCCTGGACAATTCAGCAAAAAAAAACCCATGGCATGCTGTTGACATCTGTTTGCTTTTCCCTACATCTGGAACCAAAACAGCATTGCGTCTTGAGACTCTTGATGCTCTCCTGCCTAACTAGATTGAAGGGAAAATCCAAGATGAGCCTCTTCTATGGTTTTAGGACATGGGATTTCAATGAATCTCTTCCTGGTTGAAAACAACAACAACGAAGTTCTTCCACTTTCTATGCTTCGTTTTTCAGATTTTTTTCTGTTTGGTCTATCTAGATATGAACTACTGAATATGCTATTATTATTAGAAATGATTAATGTACATGATTTATTTCATGCTTAGTTAAACTTGGTATTTTCCAAATGAACTGTAATTGAATTCATGTAATTGGATACATTTGATACAGTGATATTTATATTTGAACAAGTGTTTTCAGCACAATCTCTTGGTAAAAAATGTGGAGCACAAATAAATTGGCTGCGCCTCTGCCCTAGAGCCACAATAACTACCGTTATTATTTGATTCCTATTCCTTTATCAGAAAGAAAGGAGGGAGAATGCAGGGAGAGATATTTAATTTTACTCAGTAATAATACACGCTTTTGCGCCCTTTTGAATTTTCTCAAAAGACAAATGCCAAAACAGCACTTTTTCTCTAATAGTATAACACCTCTTCTCTTGAGCTACATTTTACACAGGTCACAGAACAAACTCTTTTAAAACAACAAGAAGCACTGTCATCTCTCTGTAATGACAATGTGGAATACCACTGTACTTTGAGGAGCTGAGTGACATATTTTGATTTCTCCTTCAGATATAAGAAAAGTTGTAAAGTTTTCAGCTCGTTCTGAGCTAACCTATTTGTTTTGCGTTCTTGCTGAATAAAGGAGGGGAGAGGAGGGGTCTTCACATAGCTCCAAAGCTTTTCTTATCTGTGAAAGTTTCAGACTTTCAGTGCCGCCTCCAGAGTCACGTGCCATCCGTTCAAAGTTAGATCTTGCGGTGTCATGACCTTAGAAGCAGAGCCATGAAGTTATGGTGCCAGATTTTAATGAAAACTTAATACTGGCCTTTAAGCTGGAAGCTTCTGCACAGAGCCCAGCACTGGGTACTGGGGAAATTGAGCAGACCTTGGGAGGCATCTGCTGTCATTAAGGAACTCCTGATAGCTTGTAAGACATTTGGGTACCATCTTGTTGGTATATAGCAGGGGTAGGCAACCTTGGCTCTTTTATGACTCTTGGACTTCAACTCCCAGAATTCCTGAGCCAGCATGGCTGGCTCAGGAATTCTGGGAGTTGAAGTCCACGAGTCATAAAAGAGCCAAGGTTGCCTACCCCTGCTATATAGTATATAGCTTTTTATGTTATGCTTTTAAATTTGTTTGCTTAAGTTAATAATAAGGCTTAACTTTATTCATTGATATGCTTCTTGTCTCTAGACCCAAAAGAGCCAATTGTCTGGTCAACCCTGGCACTTGGCAAAACACCCTCTTCATCCCAAAGGAGCTCAGAGAGGTATACAAAAATAATTTAAACGATTTTCAGTAAAAACAATCCGATAAAACAATTAACAGTAAAACCAAAAATAAGGTAGAGGAACACCAGCCTATTCTCTACATTTCTCTCCCCCAATCTCCTTGTCTCTCTGCAATGTTATATGATGGGTTTAGAAATGAAGGAGAGATGTAATCGCATTCGCCTGAACATGACTGTAGCGTTCAGCAGATCCAAAAACCAAATGAAACAACAGATGTAGCCATAACAACTCCCCTCCAGACTTCCCAGCTAAAGGGATGGTGGTTGAGGAGGGAGAATGACAGAATGTGAGGACAGAGGGGGAAGGGTCCTAACTCTCCTCAGTTTGAAACCCTAACAGCATCAGAAAAAGATGGAAAAGGACGAGTGGGTTTAAAGAGGAGCTCCCCAAATTTCAATGCAATCAAATGAGAGAACTGCCATGATTCTATCGAGGTATGACCAGGTATTGATTCATTTTGCCTCTCCTGTTTTTGTTGTTCTCAAAAGCCTGGGCCTCAGTGATGTGCAAAACCAGGAGAGGTTATAATTGAGGCAGGTTGCCATAGCGTGATTTCGGTTCTCCGCCCCATAATTACCCCAAATTTGCCCTGGTCTGCAGGATACGAGGCAGGAGTGAAAACAGCATGACTGCTGCCTCAAGGACCCGACTCTTATCACCACCCGTGCCCATCTCTCACCTGAAGTGCTGAAGGACTGCTCCACAAGTCCCACTTTCACCACCTGTGTGGGAGGAAAAAAAAGTTGCTCAAAATCAAGAAATTGTAACAGGCAATATTCTACCACCCTGACAGATAGATCTGGTGCATGGGGGGGGGGGCAGGGAGATCCGCAGTGTGGAGTTCAAAAAGTCACAGAAGCTGCCTGATTTTTACGTGCATCATGGGTGGAGATTTCATTGCACCATCAGGACTGCCATCTTGACTTTTTGGGCACACCCTGCAAACATCCCGGATGGGCCCACCCAAAAAACCAACTTGCAACAGACCCCTTTATGCAAGGCATACACATTCAATTTCTTCTGCAGGCATCTCAAGAAGCAAAGAAAATGGCTGGGTAATTCTGGAAGTTGAAGTCCACACATTTTAAAGTTCACAAGGGTTAGAAAACTCTGCTCTAGCAATTACTGGTTGATGCACTCCAGCGCACTTACCCCAACAAACGGCACAAATTTCTGACAGGAATCCTCATCTGGGCTGTAAAAATGGAACAGAGGTAATTACAAATGGCAAGTCCCTGCAGAGTCCTCCACCTGCAAAGGCCACCTGTGAAGTGGAGCTCGCCCAAAGCTTTGCCTCCCATCATCCTTTGCTGGTCACGTTACCAACCGTTGTCGGATAGCTCTGCCCCCTCCCCTTGCAGTGCCGTTGGACACGAGCAGAAAGGGCAGCTTTGGGAGAAATGGACTGATTCCAGGATTTGGCCAGGCAACCCCAGCAAAAGCCTGATGTAATAAACAAGCAGCTATCGCAGAGGCAAGCAACGGTGTCTCTTTCTCGGGAAGGTGGAAGGAAGCGGGATGGTTCCCTCACTTTCACACAGCATAGCAAACTTCCCCCCGCGCAACCCCAATGCTGAGCACAGGATCACAGTGCGCAGGAAAGATGGGAAGGCAAAGGGACAAATGCAGAAGAGACTCAGGAGGAAGGAAGACAGGCCAGCTTCCTTCTCTGTGACTTCCACAGGCGGGAGGTCTCACATGCAACCAGGGACAGCCAGCAGCCTGGCCTCAGGCAAGACAGGCAGGGGAAGCACTCATTCTGTTCCTAGACAAAGAGATGAGACGGACGGACACAGAAGAGAAAGGCAACACTGCAGCAAGCCACAGTCCAATACCTGATATAAAAATCAAAATAGAGGCTTCTTTTCCTTGAATGCCAAAAACCAAGAAGAGGGACAGGCATAAGCACTACTTGAATACAAGCAGTTAAGACTCTGGCGCTGGTAGACAACACACAGTGCCCATCTCACTTGGCAAGGCTGAGCCATCAATGCTATATTGTACTCAACCGGGGAAGGGAGGGGAGGGGAGAGAAGAAAGATCCACTGCAACTCCTGGTGACCCTTGAATTAGTGATTAGAGAGCATGACATTTCTTCCCAAGGCCACTTTCCAAGGTGTTCCTGGTTAGCTTTCAGCAGAAGACAGCTCAAATTCCATGAAGAGGAACAGCGACATTTCAAATGTTTTGAACAATTTTCCACCTAACATACCATACTTACTGTACTTTGCAGTATTTATGGCACAGCTGCTCACAATCTGTCTCAAAGAAAGAGAGAGCTGTCCTACAAAACAGTGGTACCAGCAATGACTCCACATTTGGTGGGGGCTTGGACATGACAGCCTGGGTAGACCACCTGCCCAGCCACCCTGCCCATTTGCCTGCCTTTTCCCAGACAGCAAACCAGAGGCCCAGAAGCCATTTCTCTTTGGATAAGTTGTTCTAAGCCACAATCATAAGGCAAAGAGAATGAAAAAGCTGACAGAATTCAAATGAAACAGAGAGACAGAGAAATAGAGAATGAGAAAAAGAGAAAAAGAAAGAGCAAGGAGGGGCAGTTTGCTGAGGAACAAGAGTGAGGGTACCAAACTAGCAGCAGTCTTCACTGCCAACCCCTTTAAAAACATATTGTTCCATCGAATAAACCTATTACTACCAGTGAATTAAACAGAATGGCTTTTTAAAAATATGCATTTACTGCTCAAAGGAGGCCTTTTTTGTCATCTCCTGCCTGGCAGAGACCAAAGCCAAAGATGGACATGTCAAACTTCCGCTACAGACCTTCTCTAATCATTTTGCCTAACTGTAGTGTTGCTGCTCTCACAGATCTAGCCATCTTCATTTGGTATGAATGCTCATGTCCTCTCCATTCAGATACCAAGCATGAAAAAACTGCAAATCATTGCCACTGCTATTAAATTATTTTTAATTATTTTTCCCCACAACAACAGGGTATCTGAAATGACCTGGAACTCCATGCACTGCAAACAATTCACCAGAGAGATGCTAGAGCCTTCTCTGCTCAACTGGGATGTTGGCTGGGTTCTGTCTCCACACATTAACTGAACATGCTTTCAATGCCACACCCTATGTTTCCCTATGGCTCTGCGTTATGAGGTGAATTTGTTAACAGAATACATGCACTCTCTGAGGAATGGTTGTCAAAGAACTACCAGAAGAAATACAAATGTATGAATGGTATACTAACGCCAAAGACAGGTTCTCTCCACCTACTATGTGTTTTGGAGTATTGGCAAAACTCTATTCTGTTTTTTTTAGAAAGTTTAGGGGGGGGAAGAGGTAGGAGCAATTTATTCAAAGCTCTTTAAGCTCCTTTTAGTATTAGAAAATGCCAACATTTCATCATTTTAACTTTTGACTTGAATACCAGTGTACTTTAATAATGGAGAATTGTTTAAAAATACATATGTAGGCCTTGCCCTCCTACCCACAGTTTGATTTCTTTGCCTTCAGTTATCTGAGTACTGAGTTACACAGCACCATCTTTCCCAACCCCATCTTTGACAGTTAAAGCCACAGGGGACATACAGTAACAACATCAGGGAGAATTTTAATAACCTTTAAAAAAAAATAAAAATAAAATAGGTGCATTCAAGTCTACTAGAAACTTAAAGCACCTCTTTTGCTTTCCATAATAAAAAAATATATTGTGTAAACTGAAAGCTCATTGCTAAGTTTCAATGATACATTTTTGGGATCTCCCAAGAGTCCCCCCAAAAGAGGTTCGGAGGCCACTTTTAGCCCGCAGGCTTCCTTCTTCAAAGTAACTGCAGATTCTGCAATGCACAGAACTTGCTCAATTCCAAGCTCATTTTTAATACCGGCATTTCTAGATCTATTTAGACAACAACAAGCAATGCAGTCATTTTGGGGAATACATGTGTGTGTTATGTTGCAGCCGGAGGGTGGCAAGCTAGCTGAAGACGCATCACCTACATGCAGTCCAGGTTCTGGGCAGAAGCCACCACTTCAAATGCCTACAAAGCAATACCAGAAGACCTGTACATGGCAATGGGGGCAGGAAGCCACATCCTCACAACTGTCACGTGTCCAGATAACTTAAGTCAGTTCTTTATGACCCTGCCCCACCCTTCTCCCCATCCTCTCACAGAGCAACTGGAAAGGTTTCATTTCCTGGCAGAAGCTGTCCCATCAGCGGGGCTTTAGCACAGCATTGCTCGTCAGAGCAAATCAGCAGAGGTTAATTTAGAGCTGGTATCCTCAGCATCTGCAGACTGGTGGGTTATTTGAGGGGAAACTGTTGTAGAGAATCTATCAGATAGAAAACATCACTTCACCAGGAAGCAAACTGATGAGGTTTCCCCCCCTGCTGCCCTTTCTAGCCTCCACCGTCTGCCTTTTTGCTGGGCAAATCTAAAATAAAGGCCTGTATGGCTAGTCTGTGAAAACATATGTGGGATCTACGTGGAAGCTGAATGCATCCCTGGTAATAAAGATGATTTTGAAGGCTGGTGCTTTGCTCTGAGACATGCAACTTCCTTTTGAATAGTGTTTAAAACAGCTGTGAAATAAACCTTATAGAAATGAAAAGATCACTATGCCTCCAATTCAATAAGAAGTCTGCTTGGGGAGGGCAGAGCTTCCCTCAGTCCAGGAATGTTCCAGCAAAAAGCAGAGTCCTTTCCCGACCTCCCCAGAAACTCCCCTATTGAGTGCAGCAAGCCAGCTGTACATACTGTGTGCCAGTCCCCCTTGGCTGCAGGGAAAAGCCTGATGTACCCCATAGACCTGAACCGTGGGGAGAGGAAGGACAGAAACAGCACTTGCAATTCCCCAAATGACTATTCAGGCCAGCCTTTATTCTGGAGCAAAAGCAGAAAAAAACCTGCTTATCTATTCTGCTTTCTCCCTGCTGCCCTGTCCTTTAAGAGCAGTATGAGGATCACAGTGCAAAACCTGGTCACGTTCCCTGGAAACACATGGAAAAGAGATCATGTAAAGTAGAAGCGACAACTGCCTGGTGCTTCCAGAAGGATGATTTGGTATTTTGGGGGGTGGGGGTGGGGAGATATCAGCTCATAATGGGTAGGTAAATGATGTCAAGTAGATAAGAGCTGTGCTATACATAGGCAAATACAGTTTTTTTTTCTGGTTTGGAAGCATCACAGAGATTATTCTGTTTTTAACTTATAAGACCTATGTCAGAGTATTCACTACAGTATGTTTTGTATGTGTCCTATCTCAAAATGCAGAAAACAAACAGTTTCCCTCCTCTTATCAGGCCTCACTGCCCAGCCCAGCATAGCACCCTCCCACACGCCAAGAAATATGGGGATGCAGCCATGCACCAAAAGAGATGGGCTCCATGTTACGTGGGTTCAAATAAGTAATTCTGTTACTTAGCGAAGCCTTAAAGAGAGTGAATGGAAGGAGAGATGAAAGGAAGACTGCAAGCTCTCCTACCTCTTCTGTTTGTAGGTCAACATGGCCTCTGAAATGGGTAGCTGGTGAGATACATTGGCACCTGTAATGAACTGAGCAACCCGGCCAGGGATGTCCACAGTATCTGGAAAGAGATGGAGAGAGGGGATTGGAGGGGGCACGTAGAGCACCAGTGAAGCCAAACAGCTTCTTAGAACAGATATCCCATTACTGCTCTGTATTGCTCCAGCCAATTAATTCTAGCTCTTACCTGAACTAGGGGCTTCAACTCTGCTAAAGACCTCTCTCCAGGCCGCATCCAGAAACAGAGTGCTGTATCTATTATCAACTGAACCAAGGTACTTGGCCAAGGGGTGAGAGCCTGGGAAGGATACAGAGCATTTAAACAAAGGGAAGAAAAAGGTGCAGGATATAAACAAGATAATTTCCTTATCCTCTCCTCACAAAGTTGAGCCAAAGGTCTAAGCAAACATACATGAATAGCAAATTGCCTCACCTCCACATTTCTCTAGCCCATGTTTTCTTTTCCTGGTTGGCATAGCTGCTTTTGCATGCTAACAAAAGAGGAAGGAAGGCTCCCCTGGTTTAGAATATGCCACAGCTTTTCAGAACTGGCGCCAGTGGGCAAGACTCTTACCCAAGGGCACCACAAGAAAACGGAGGTAGTTCAGCCAATCGGGAGTCTTGCTGGCTAGTTGCTCCACAAAAAAGCGCAGGACGATGCTCAGATAGCTCTGATCCCCTGCCACAGCTACTTTCACTGGAGGAGGCATGTGGGAATTACAGTTACAGCTGTGGAGGAAGAGAAATTCTGAGAAGTTCGAAGGCTGCAGATCCAGTAGAGCAACACCAAAGCCCCATTACTTACTGCCAACACTCCCTCTGCTTTACCCTCCGTTAGACGGTCCTAGCCTTCCTAACTAGCCAACAGTCTTTCAGTTGGAGATAATGGGAAGCTGCGCATCATTGCCCAGGAAAGCAATGGGCTGTGGAAAGCTGGACCAAATAAAAAAAGGAATTCCCATCTCTGAAGCTACAACCAGGGTGGCTTCATGGTCTACATAACCAAGTACCAAAGTTCTCAGGCACATGGTTAACTTGGGAAACCAGTCAGAATCTGTTCACCATGGCCTTGGCTGACTATACTCACTATCTCTGAATGCGAGAAACAATTGTGTTGAAGGCAGCCTGGACATCTGCCATGGAGCAGGTGGAGACCATGGGTTGCTTGTGTTCTTGGAGCTGATCACACAGGTACTGCCAATATAAAGCAAGAAACATAAAGAAAAGCAGCTAAAACAGATGTGTGACATCTCTGGTCTCAAAGTTCTCCTGTTCTTGGCTCTGTAGTCTGAGATCTATTCCTGAGCTAACAGGTTACAAGAAGGACTTATTTGGGATTAATATTGAAATCTGGTATGATGCTTTTCACAGCAAAATTATGCCAAGACAGGTCATATTGAATTTATGTGAATGTTCAACATGTTTGGATTATTACATTGCCTTGCACTCATTTGATACCATATAATTCATTAATTTGCAGAGTTATTTATACATCTGATCTGGTATACTCCTCTGTAAATTTAATTGTTTTAATGTACATTTAATTGTTTTAAATGTTTCCCCCCCACCTTTTTTTTTTTTGGCCAATCCACTCTGTAAAATCATGAATTGCTTTTCACAAGTTTCCCTTCACTTTCAGAGCAGGGGGTTTAGTTAAACGCAACCCTTGTGCAATCAGCTGCCTTCAGGGCTTCCTCACCTGGCCTTGCCACTCCGAGATGTTCACCAGGATGATGCTCTCAGGCAGCTGCTCGTCTGAGACCAGGATCTGGTTGAGCTGATCATACACAGATTTCCGGGGCACCTGCAGCAGCAAAGGAAAGCCATGATCAGGATAGTTCCAATCCCTGCATCAGGAAAGACCATAAAGGTAGGAGAGACTTTGGCTGTCTTGGGAAAGTTGCAAATGTCTCTATTACTTTGGTTTTGTTTCTCCACTCCCCATTTAAGGCATTTCTCTTCCTCCTCCCCCCCCCCGCCCCGTGCCAGGAGAGAGCCTTTCTCACCCCACTAACCTGGCTGTTCTGCCGGGAATCTGGGGAGCCCTCACTGTCCAGGCTACCGGTTCGATCACTGTGGCTCCTGGAGTTTTGTCTATCCTTGACAGACATACTGCGAGGTCGCCAAAGCTGCTTGTTCTCAGCTTTGCTGAAAGACAAACAGCAGGTTTATCAGCACAGGTTGGGGGAGGATAGTCAGGCCTCAGATGCCCAGAGAAAGTCTCTGCTGAGCTTCTGAGCAAAAGCCATCAGTGGCCAGAGCTTCTAAGTCATCAACAGCTATTGAGACCCAAACACAGAGACTGAAGAGGGGCAGGGAGGCTAAGAAGTTCACCCTAGCAACGGGGATTAACTGGACGCCGTAAAACAATATTGTTTGTCAAAGTCTACAAAAATCAACCAAGTGTACCATCACCTGTGATTTGATTATTTATATGCTATGCCGGTTTAGGGTTGAAAGGGTATCTGGGAAAACATCTTAGGTTTTTGAAGACTTCAAACACCTGAAGAAATCTTAGGCCAAGAATCCATGCCTGAGCCACAGCAGACTTAGGATTTCTACCTGAAATATTGGCCCCAAGATGGAAGAACCTCTGCATGGCCAACATAGCCGCTACCTATGCAAGATCAGCTGCCCATTACAGGTGGGGCCTTTCTTACCTGGGGGAAACAGTGGCTGGGAACTCCGGCTTGCTTACATTGCTCAGTTGGGCAAGCCTGTCCATGCTGCTCTCCTTCAATACCGTCTCAGCTGCGCCTCCTGGACAGGAATCGTTTGCCTCCAGCTCCTGAGATCATGTGGTTATTATATTTCCAATATGCCCAATAACCAAAGAAATGACGATGCACAGAAAGCATTGGAAAGTCTGTTTGTGGATGTGTTTTGCTTTGGAGCCCCAGAAGAATGTCAAATGGAATGGCTTTATTGGCATGCCTCTTACCCACCCTGCAAGCTTTTTCTTCAACCCCTTCCTACACCTCAGTTCACTAATGCACATTTCTACCCCCACTGCTACATCATTACGGCCATCTCTGTAGTTCATCCCAGTCAAACAGACAGAAGCAGAAAGAATGCTAACAGGAAGGTTGAATTATGAGTTGTTCCATAGTTTTAAAAAAAGAGCCAAATTTAATTTACATGATTCTAGAAGGTGGGGAGAAAATCCTCGACTGTGCCTGCAAAGCTGCAGGTGGTCCTTGACTTACAACCACAATTGTAACCAGAATCTTAGTTGTTGAGCAAAGCAGTTGTTCAGTGAGATGTCACATGACTGCATCACTCAATGACCACAATTCTGGCATTCCTGAATGAGGTTGTTAAGCACTCTCACAGATGATTAAACAGGGGAATCCCATGTAAGGCACGTAGGGTGCCTCAGGGGACGGGGGAGACCTTGGGAGACTTGGTGCAGGGTGCATGTTCAGTATCTCTCCGCTCAGGAACTGAAAATCTCCCTGCCAAAATCCAAGCAGGATTTTCAGCCCCTGAGCAGAGATACTCACATGCGACCTGTACCAGGTCTCTCAAGGCTTTCCCCACTCTGAGGCACCCGGTGCTCCTTACCTTACCATGTTGCCTCTCTGCTCAGGGCTGAAATCCCTACTTGGATTTCAGTTCCCTTCGTCCCTGGGGGCTGGCTGAAAGAGCTCCCTGCCGAAGGATTGCAGCTCCATGTCTGCTTGGATTTCAGTAGGGTCTCGCTTTGGATTTGGATGTGGATTTCAACAATCCAAGTAGACATGGAGCTGAAATCCTTTGGCAGGGAGCTCTTTCAGCCAACCCTCAGAGCTGAGAAAGAGTCCTCTTGGCAGGCTTGCAAGCATCTCTGCACTGACTTTCTGGGGAAGCCAGCAGAGAAGACTGCAAACAGCAATTGTAAATGCAAACTGGTTACTAAGAAGCCAGATCATGATCCCGAGACTGCAGGGTGGTAATGCAATATTTTGCAGTGGTCAGAAGTGCTTTACAGGCTGCACAGCACCCTTTCCAGAACCATCATTAATTCAAACCATCATTAAGCAAATGGTCATAAGTCAAGGACTACCTGTACAAATAAAGAATATGTGATTCCACTATGCAATGAGGTGGTGGGATGAATCAACAACTGAACTGGCCAGCAGAATGTATCAATCAAACAGAGCTATGTGCAACCACTGTGTTTCCTAAATTCCCTTCATTCCATCCACCGCTACTCCAATATATAGAAATACCAGCAAGAGCTTTAAATGTTTCAGTACCCACAGAGACTGTTGATGTTGATAGAGTAGAAGAAAGCACAGGGTACTGTTCTTCATGTAAATTAGTATTGGGGAGTAGTACCCAGAATACACAGAGTGGATGACTAATACATAATGCTAGTGTATCTAGCACAGATCCAGAAAGATTAATGCTAGAATCTCCCCAAACATTGCCAATGTATCTCAAGGGCTCCTTGAGTCATTTTCTCCCACCACCTCTAAAGCTGCTGCTCACACAGACATTAGAAAAGACTGAAGCAGGAAGATGCTCAGACCAACCACTTACAAATGCTTAGTTTATGAAAGATAAAGTTTACTGCTCTAAAAATTTCTCCAAACAATTTGTCTAGTCCCCATACACATGGTTACTCATGAGAAACAATATAACAAATCACCCAGAGTAAGCATCTCTTTATTGTGAGCTAATGAGTTTCTGATGGGTCAAAGCAAAAAAAAAAACCTTTTGTATGACCCTATGTGGCAGGGTCCCATGCTTTTGTATGACCCTATGTGGCAGGGTCCCATGAGTAAGCGGCAAAGGTTGGGCACATCTACATTGCAGGTGCCAACCATCCCAAAATCCCTGCAGCAGGAGAGATGGAAAGTTTGTTTTAGCTTAGGAACACTCAAATGTACAATATTTGGAAATCTGGACCCAAAGACTGTTCTGTTCCCAGTGGAATACCTATCATTTGCCCAGAATAAGTGTCAGACTGATGGCCATTGACAACTAGGGATCGGATGAGCAACATGAAGAAAACCATTTGCTCATTTGGATAAACTCCCAGATCAGATAGGGTGGCAAAAACTTCGTAAAACAGCCAGGAAAGGAGAGGACTCACCATAGCTGCATTTTCCACAGCAGCCTCATCTTGGGTGCGTGGGATACCCACTTTCCACTTCTCTGCTTCTCCCTAGGAGAGTGGGCAGAGAGCAAGCAGGCATGGGGGAGGGAAGAAGAAAATGGATGAGTAGTGACAACTTTGGATCCATGAAATCTTAGGAGCAGAAGCAGAGGTATTCCAGACATAGAAAGAACAGGCACAAGTCAAAACACATTGTGCTTTCTCATTGTCCGGAATATTGGAAACAGACCCATGGGCCACAGAAGGGGTTGTAGAGGAAAAATAGCCACCCTCCCTTTCATTTGGTCACTGCAGGAACCCAGGGGGCCCAGCTCAGTAAGTTTGGTTGGCTTGCTCCTATCCTACTTCTTCTAAATTGGAAAAAGGAAGCTCATTAAGGAAAGACAGAAGAAGGAAAAGCAAATGCATGTAGTGGGAATTGTTATTAAAGCACAGATGGGCAAACCAGAAAGTCGGGGAAGGAAGGAAGGAAGGAAGGAAGGAAGGAAGGAAGGAAGGAAGGAAGGAAGGAAGGAAGGAAGGAAGGAAGGAAGGAAGGAAGGAAGGAAGGAAGGAAGGAAGGAAGGAATAACAACTCACAGGGCTGCCCGACTCTTGCTCCTGCCCTTTTTGGCTGTGCAGACTGCTGATCTCAGTCTGGGAACCAGAGTGAGAGACGCCCTCAAAGAAGCGCCTGCAGAAGAAACAGACAGACAGAGAGACAGACAGACAGACAGACAGACAGAAAGAGAAATGAGGGAGAAGTGAAGTCACCATTACCCAAGCTTGAATTCCACCCCATTCTCTATCCCCACGGAGCACCACAAGCAAACCCATCACCAAAGCCCTGGTCTTTCAGCAACACAAAAAGACAGCTGGAAGGGAGGGAGGGCTGATCCTTGTGAGCAAAGGGGTTTTAAAGTGTCACTTTCAATAGAGAAGGAATAAAATAGAGCAAAGCACTTCTACGTCCAGCTAGAACAAGTATATTCTCCCCAACTAACTAGATTCTCTCTTCCAGTAACTGAATCTGCAGAAGAAAGAGGACAGCTATTGTTCAGGTTAGGTTTGAAATGACTGGGGGAAAAAATCAAATGCAAAACTGAAAGGTAACTCAGAAATCACAGGAAGAGAAACTAAGTAAGTCTGCTTTGGCTCAAACTTGCAATTTTATTTTGTAACAAATATGCACCAACAGCACAACTAAAGGATAAGATCTTCATTGCAGATTGGTCTAACTCCTGGCTATTGCACAGCATTAAAGATATTGCTGGGTTTAGGTAAGATTGAGTTGCATTATTTCTATCGGAAGATAAATAGAGTTGGGAGATATGGATGTTTACTCAAATCTATTTGCAAGAACTCAGAGTACATGATTTTTGTAAAGATATTGCATTTCCAATATCTGAAAAGGAGCAGTTTAAAGCATCTGGTGAACACAGGTACTGCCAACACAAGATGGAATCACCCAAACGAGCTAAGATTTTTTTTTCAGATTTCACATTATACATACGAAGACTTTTGCAAGGAACTTGTCTCCTTTTACATTTTAACCTTTATATAATAATAATAATAATGATGATAAAGTTGGAAGGGACCTTGGAGGTCATCTAGTCCAGGGCTTTTCAACCTTTTCACCCATTGTACCACTTTTAGGATATGGCAATATCCAAGTACCACCAGTCGCCTAGCAAGGTGTCAAAAACTTGATGACCCATAAAAAAGAAAAGAAAAAAGTGATGAAGTACAGGTAGTCCTCGACTTACAACAGTTTGCTTAGTGACTGTTCGAAGTTACAATGGCACTGAAAAAAGTGCCCCCCAAGCCACAGTCGAGCAAGACGCCTGCCTGCCCACCTGGCGGCGCTCTTCCTCCTGTCCGAGGTTTTCATTGTTCTGAGCATTTCTGTTGAGATTGGCAGCAGGGGTGGGGTGGGGGGTGTTTGGTTTTTATTCCCCCCCCATCTGCTGGGTGGTTGCAGCAGGTTTTGGTCACTTCACATGACCCTGGGACCCTGGGACCGTCATAAATATGAATCAGTTGCCAAGCATCTGAATGTAAATCACAAGACCCTGGAGATGCTGCAACATTCCAGCTGATCGGCGCTTCTTCTGGGCTCAGCAGAAGCGCCAGGATCAGCGCCGAGCTCCAGCTGGAGCCTGGCACTGATCCTGGCGCTTCTGCTGAGCCCTGACAGCCCTGCAGCTCCAGCCATCTCTCGCTCAGGCTTGTGCGGTGCTGCCACCAGTTCAGCTCATTCCACTCTCCCGCTACCACTTTTCTAGGATGATCGCGTACCACCTGCCAGGTGCCAATGTACCACAGGTGGTACCTGTACCACTGGTTGAAAAGCCCTGATCTAGTCCAACCCCCTGCTCAGGCAGGAAACCCTATACCATTTCGGACAAATGGCTGTCCAGTTTCTTCTTAAAAACTTCCAGTGTTGGCGCGTTCACCGCTTCTGGAGGCAGGTTGTTCCACTGGTTAATTGTTCTAACTGTCAGGAAGTTTCTCCTTAGTTCTAGGTTGCTTCTCTCTTTGGTTAGTTTCCACCCGTTACTTCTTGTCCTGCCTTCAGGCGCTTTGGAGAATAGCCTGACTCCATCTTCTTTGTTGCAGCCCCTGAGATATTGGAACACTGCTATCATGTCCCCCCTCGTCCTTCTCTTCGTTAAACTAGACATACCCAATTCCAGCAGCCGTTCCTTATATGTTTTAGCCTCCAGTCCCCTAATCATCTTTGTTGCTCTTCTCTGTACTCTTTCTAGAGTCTCTACATCTTTTTTACATCATGGTGACCAAAACTGGATGCAGTATTCCAAGTGTGGCCTTACCAAGGCATTGTAAAGTGGTATTAACACTTCACGTGATCTTGATTCTATCCCTCTGTTAATGCAGCCTAGCACTGTGTTGGCTTTTTTGGCAGCTGCAGCACACTGCTGGCTTATATTTAAGTGATTGTCCACTAGGACTCTGAGGTCCCTCTCACAGTTACTACTATTGAGCAAGGTACCCCCTATACTATACCTGTACATTTGGTTTTTCTTGCCTAAATGTAGAACCTTACGTTTTTCACTATTGAATTTCATTTTGTTAGATAGCGCCCAGTGTTCAAGTCTGTCCAGATCCTCCTGTATCCTAAGCCTGTCTTCTGGAGTGTTGGCTATATATTGTTTCTATGTTTTAATATTTTACTGTAAACTGCCCAGAGTCTCTCTGTGAGGGAGATGGCAGTTCCAAAATGAGATAAATAAATAAAAATAAAAACTGATGGGATGTGCATGTTTATGCATGTATACCCCCATAACTCCTTTACAATACCATGCATGAGCCAGGAAATACCTGCAAAGGCCCACAACTTCAAGACAAGCTCTACTGAGAGACTGATCTTAGTGTAAAACAAAAGAAAGCTAATGCTATATACTCCAAGGAGAAGTGCCATCAACTGGCAATTCCCATATGCTTCTAACCATCTAACAGTAACTCACTCAGATCAAACTGACAGTTCTTCAAAGATGGAAACATCTGAGCAAATAGATCTCTGGTGGAACTAATTTCAACTAATTGTCTTAAAGTGTCCTCAAATACCAAAAAGCCCAATCCAGGGGCTTTTAAAAAGGCATCACTGTATCACTATTTGCGCTGAATAGATAGAGAATTTTTCTCAGTGGAAAAGGAGGAAGACACTCTCCCCCTTTTCTCAGGTCACTGATGAACTGCGGAACATTTTTCAAACTTACAGGACAAATACAACCTCTCTGTGGA